AATCTTAAACCCACGTCACCACAGAGGCTACCGGGCCCTTAAAATAAACTCCCTCAGACGCTGCATTCTGACCTGCAAAACTGCCTATTCCCATATCCGCTCTTTAAGTCCATAATCGATTACTTAATTTTCTTTCGTAATAGAAAGTGTGGTATCTTCGCTCTTTATGTCCCTTCCAAGATTTATGCTCATGTAAAATTGCTACATGTACATGATATTTCTTAGCGGCTGCTCTGAGGCTTGAACCAAGTTTGATTTCTTCTACGCACTGTTAAGGGCATCTTCAGAATAAGGCATCTAAAATGTAACATGGGAATCTCTTAGAGAAAAACGCGTTTTGATCTTTATAAGCAAAACAAATAAAACGTGTACCACAGACCACGTACATGTCGATTTTGACAGATTTTTAAGAAATTTAATCTACAGAACTTTAAATACAACTGATTAAGTATTGCAATCAAAACATTTACAGGAAAACTTAGCATTTTTAGCTCACCAGAGCCAAAGGCTCAGGGTGAGCTATAAGTATCAAAGGGGGATACTCCGGCGTCCGTCGTCATGCGTCAACAATCGTCTTCTTCTCTGAAACCACTGGACAGATTTACTTCAAATTTGGTCTGTAGCATCCTTGTGACAGTCACACTTGAATTTGCTCATGCCATTTCAATTGGCCCCTTCTAGGGGTCAACAGAGCTAAAACTAGAAAAACGTTTAAACATCTTCTTCTACAGAACTAATTGATGGGATGATCACCAAACTTTGTCTGTAGCATTCTTGGGTAGTCTTTTATCAACTTTGCTCATATCAATTTGATTGGCCCCTTTTAGGGGTCTCTAGGGTTAAAAATAGAAAAAACCTTAAGACATCTTCTTCTACAGAACTAATGGATGGATGATCATCAAACTTTGTCTGTATCATTCTTGGGTAGTCTTTTATCAACTTTGCTCATATCAATTTGATTGGCCCCTTTTAGGAGCTCCTAAAGCTAAAAATAGAAATTACTTTAAACATCTATATCTAGAGAACTAATTGATGGATGATCACAAATTTTTGTCTGTAGCATTCTTGGGTAGTCTTTTATCAAATTTGCTCATATTAATTTGATTGGCGCCTTTTAGGGGTCTCCAGACCTAAAAATAGAAAATCATTTAGAAATGTTCTTCTACAGAACCAATTGATGGATGATCACCAAACTTTGTCTGTAGCATTTTTAGGTAGTCTTTTATCAAATTTGCTCATATTAATTTGATAGGTCCCTTTTAGGGGTCAAGGGAGCTAAAAATGATATAAACCTTTAGACAGCTTTTTCTACAGAACTTATTGATGGATGATCACCAAACTTTGTTATTAGCATTCTTATAGTAATCTCTTATAAAAATTGCTCATATTTATTTGATTGGCCCCTTTTAGGGACTGCTAAAGCTAAGATACCCCAGACCATGGCATTTCTTCAAATTATAGTTTAATGAAAGGGAAACAACTCATGCTGGAATTTCTTTCATACATTGTTTGCTGATGAAATTATTTGAGGTCATGACCTCTTATGAAATAACTTAAGCACATTATACAAGATATATAAGAACTAATTATCAAGCTTTATTTGGTTTCATTCATATTCACTTAATTACATATATTCACTTAATTACATCACTTCATGCAGTGTTTTCTCTAGGGAGCGTTTTCTGCGTTTTTGACACAGTACTTTTGCATTTGACGCGGTAATGTTTTCCGTGACGCATATTTTTGCGAGCGTCGTAGTATATATTTTTTTCTATAAATAGCATGAATTTCATCAGCTGATCGGTCACATGATTTATCTTAGACGCTTTAGTGATTATTACATGTTAAAAGCGCTCAGGCGCTTCAGATTGTGACGTCATTATCCGGGTAAATTCACAAATGTCTGCTTCGAAAAAAAGCAGCCAAGATTGACTTCATTCTTCAATAAAGACAATGTTAACGTTGATGGAGCGACAGAATCTACCGTAAACAACTCTGCGCCTATACCAAATGAGGTTTCCCAACCAAATCAATCGGCGAATGCTGAAACAACTGAGAAATCCAAGCAAAATGATAATGCTCCGAAGCGATTTTTTTGTAAGGAATATTTGGTTATTAAAATGACTTGCACAGTTTGTATTACTGAAATAAACAAATCATTCACATTGGGATGCACAAACTTTAGAGATTTTTAGTACCGTATGGTACTGGTTACGGGAGTTGACGGAAAATCGGAATTAGTGTGTTACGCTTGACAGACGCTACCAAAGCTCCATAATTTTACCGATTGGGTACACAGATGTATTTGCCCTCAATTTCAATAAAAAGTTTGTTGTCCCATACTGTAAACACCTTACATATTTTGCATGTGACATTTTGTGTATTCATTACAAAAGTTATCAAGGAAAAATGTTCCATCAGTAGTGGTCATTTATCAGGTCTAGTATTTCATGATATTTATGGACTGTCCGTAAATATATAGATAGTCTGGGACATTATGTTATATCCCAGGGATAGTCTAGAAATTTAAAGATGTTTCAATCCATAAATATACAAATCTATATTCAATGTGTAATTTGCTGTTTTTAATTTTACACTAAAATCCGCAGCTTCTGACTAGTTTTTTTATTGATTGTTTATATTTACAAAGGTAATGTGGTGAGTTTCATCTTTGTATGATGATTTTGAAAAATTTAATAAAAGTGAAAATTGAAAGTCATCATATTGTTTTGAATCTCACCATACTGTTACATTTAATCATAGTATGTAACCTTATTAATTTTAACCTGTGGTTTTGAATTTTAATGCAGCTTCTACTATTTTCTTACTTAATGTCTGTAAATTTCTGTAAAATTATGGCTCGTCCAAACATTTACAGACTGTTCGTAAATATCATGAAATCCTAGACCTGTTTATTCTGCATTATTTTATTCTACATAGTCTCATGGAAACACACTTGCAACATAGATATTTCTAACAAAGCCTCCAAAATATTAGGGCAAAATATTTCAATAATTTAAATTAGAAGGGCAAGTAAAAGTTGAGCTGGACTGGTCTTTCAGCAAGTTCTTTGAAAAATAACACTCAGTCTTATAAACAGTTGTTTCTGGTAAGCGACTCAGGGCCATCATGGCCCTCTTGTTTCATTTGCCCTTTATGCAAATACCCGTTCGCTTTAACGGCAAAAAATGTTCGTTTATATTACAAAGAAGTGTCCTTCATTAAATTCCTTCAAACATTTATATAAAGTATCAGGTTTTTAAGAACTCCACTTACGACTTTCAGATGTATTATAAATGAAATAGGATGGCTGCAAAATTTGGAAATTTGAATTTTCACGCTTTAAACTTTGTTCGAGATCACTAAAAATGCGTCTCACTGAAAAAGACCGACATGTAATGAATAACATCTGCGTATTTATCCTTCTATCATAAACCCGGTACAAGTACGGCGAATACGGCTTTAGACTTTTATAGATGCATGTACCGCAATTTCATTCGGTATAAGTTCAAGGCCGAATTACTAACCGCAAACAAATTTCTTATTATTACGTTTTTCATCTGAAATAAACATTAACTTACAGAGGCTAAACTTCGTCTATCATGGTCTATTAAGATTAGTAAAAAAACATGTGCAATTTAAACAATCTGATGATAAACATATTTAGAGTCAGTTACGTTTTAAGATACTTTATAATCAATGTTCTATCTATATTCCAATCTGCAAATCAATGAAAAATCAGATTCTTGTGAGAACAAAATTATATAAAAGACAGATTAGAATATGCACGAGTGTACATTCATTCTAGATCGTATAACTTGATCTAGAGCTTAGTAGATCCAGTTATATTGTTATTTGTTAATGATATGGACACAAACAAAACAAAAAGACAACTAGGTAAGTTGTCCAACAATATTGATTTGGCACTTCATTAACTTTCGTAAAGGTCATTTGAATAAACATTGGCCAGTATCTATCGAATATATCTATATATTTGCTAACTTTATTCGTCAGCGATTCCTCACCAACACCACGTTGTGACTTTTTAATTAACTTGCAAGAATTTATTTGAAATCGTTTTACTACACCTGGTTCTAGAAAACATCTTGATTAAGTGGTTTCGTACACATTTATATTTTTTATTTCATTACAGTGGCTTTCAACGGTCTCTTTGTGACATTATGCAATCGTATATGCATTAGCGCATACACACTATAAAGTCAGTTATTAAAAATACTACACTGATATACAACAAAAAGGTTTAAAATAAATTTAAGAGAATGGCAATTTCTGTTCCGTCTATATTTATCAGGATTGACCCTATTGTCTTCTTCCTGCTTGAAGTATAATCTTTATGTATAAGTACACTTTTTTTGAAAACAATATTTTGAAAATTTATTTATGGTATATTTTGCTTTATCTAGTGCAATATTTTCATTAATTCTATATACGGCATAATTATAATGCCTTTAAACTATTGTGGTTAATTCTTTAAAGATTTGCAACATAGAATGTCTCTGTTATTTAACAAACATATTCAATATTATACGTAAACATAACAAAATGTTTCGAAACAAAATATTATGCTGCTATATTAGTAGGAATTTTACTGTCTATCAATTATAACTTTATATATGCCCAATATTGCGAATATATGTGTTATCTAAATTATTTAATATTATACAAACAGCCTTGTTAAAGATTTTAAAGAAACATGAAAACGAATAAAATTTAGTGTAATTGGCAGAATGCAATTTTATTAAACATTTCCATTTAACAATATAGAAAAAGGAAGATGTGAACATAAATTGTATTATTTTCATATGCAGATTCAATGATCGCTTTAATGTCTGTCTTGATGATGGATTAGAGCAAAACAAAAGACTGTAAACAAATCATGTTGCGACTCTTTATTTGTTAATGTAAATCAATGTTTTATATTTATTTGTTGCGATGCAACCTTGAATTCTCTTTATCGTATTTATAATCCGCGTATATGCAGTAGGAATGTAGCTTACTGTAGTGTTTGTTAATGCAGTTGTAAATAAGCAAGCCGATATTACGAAATATTACATCATTCTGAACTACCGTATGGGATATGTTATTTGGAATGATACCGGAGTTTAAGTACTTTTCCCTCAGATAAAAAGGTAAGTGAACTTATATTTTAAAATTTTCTTTGACGTATTATACTTTACAATAATAACAATGGTTGTTGATATTTGTTTGTTTGCTGTTTTTGGGGGTTTTTTCTTCGTTTACACAGTGTAAATGTTTAAGAATCGAATATTTTAGTATAAAAACATGCACGAATTTCTAACACATGCTAATCACCTGGCCTACATGGCCTAACGAGTCTTCTTTGTAGTATATTGGATAGGACTAGACATCGTTTAAACATCTCAGTAGTTTACTCTTTGTGATCTTTGTTTACTTATAGGGTTTAAAACTTCTTTGGAAAATATATCATCAGTTGAGTATTTTCTTTTTGTCTTGATGATTTTTTTTATAACAGATGCTTAAATAAAAATATGTCCAGTTGGTGCATGTGCGGATTAAATTATTGTCTAATTAAAAGTTGAATATTTTGTTTTTAACGTTTTCTTGTGAATTAGAATAGACAGATAGTATGAGTTTTTTAATGTAATAGTTAAAGTTCTAGTTTTATACATATAACCTGTATAAGACTGATAATTTTCATTTCGCCAATATTGGACAGCATATATTATTTAATTACAAAACTGAACATTCAAAAACATACGTACTTTTATTTTCAAATCTTAATTTACAAATCAACATGTGTTATTCTCGATAATTGTTTGTTTGTTTTCCCCCGTTCATTTATCGGGTTTACAGCATCTTTTGAAAATACATCATTAATTGATTTTTTTTAAATTTTGTTACAAATTTTATGACAGTACCTCAATGTACCTTAATTGAAGACTTGTCTGTTGGTGAATGTGCTGATTTATTGATTACCTAATTAAAGGTTGATTTCTTTTTCTTTAAACGTTCTATTATGAAATAGACAGATATTATGTGTTGTTTTCTTTTGTAACAGTTAAAGTTCCAATTTTACGCACGTAAAAATAACCATTAGTGTGACTTTAGATTTTTTATGAAGAGTACCTTAAATAAAGACATGTCCGATTGGTGCATGTTCGCGTTTAATGATTTAAGTTGAATATTTTGTTTTGAACGTGTTATTCTGAATTAGTACAGACAAGTTTTTTATGTAATAGTTAAAGTTCTAGTTTTACACACTTAATGATAACCAGATAAGCAAGATAGATTGATATTTTTTACATCACAAATATTGGAGAGCAAATCATATTTACAAATCCGAACGTTTTATTGACACAAATTGCATAATGAGTGACATGAATGGTCATGTCTACCTTTAAATCAAATAGTAAATTAAACTTGTATACAGGCATTGTTTAGAAATAAAAACATACATAGGTTAAGGTGACATTTAACTTACTTTATACAAAATGCTACATTTTTGAAAAACATCACATATGTACTCGATCTAAAAATACTAAAGGTCGGCCAGCGAAACTAACACATTATAAACAAGATAAATTCTAAATGTCAAAGTAAGTTTGAGAATGTAATAGGTCTCTTTATGGTTTCCGTCTGAGAAAATTGTTACTATCATAAAATAGTATAATACCTAAGTTATTAGTATATTTGAAGCACGTTCATTAATGTTTAAAAATTAAAAGAGGCACTTTTGAAGAAATAATAAACTATAAATTAATGGTGGAAAGGAATATCTCTTGAAAAAATACTAAACGGTAAAGTAATGGTAGTTAGGACAAGGCGACATTCTATGTCACAATAAAAACTTACTTTAGTATTATTAGGATTAATTTTATAGATGAAATAATAAAGGAAAAAAGTGAAAAAATCAATGAATTCAATACAAATCATGATAGTATTATTGAGACATGGTATCATGTAAGTTGCTTAAGTGTTAATTTAAATAAAAGCTGCAGACTAATGCAATTAAATATAATAGAATAAATTGTATAGGATTTTTGCAAAACTGAAATGGTGCCAAATCTATAAGTTCTTGGCCCGATGTACTTCGGTAGTCAGAGAACCCAACTTATGGTCTTACTTTTCATTATAATCGCCCTCTACATCAATGCACTTTGCCCACCTGTGCTCCAACTTGTTTAACCCTTCAAAATATAACTCTCTAATTTGGTCCTCAAAAAACTCACAGTCTCAATGACACCTTCATTGCTTACAAAACGTCTACCACGAAGTTTGGTTTTCAGTTTCGAAAACAGGTACAAGTCACAGAGGGCCAAGTCAGGAAAATATTGAAATGGGGGAGAATTTCAAAGCCGAAGTCAGCTGCAGCAGCTATCGCAACTCGGGATGTGTGTGAGCTGGCGCATTATCGTACAGGAGCAGAACGCGTCCCTCTTTTTACGCGCGATTTCTTGACGCAGACGTGTCAATTCGTCTGCATAGTACGTACCGTGTATTGTACGACTTGCTCAAGATAGTTAAACATGATTATACCCGGACTATTCCAAAAAATTGAAGCCATCCTCTTCTCTGCTGATGGCACCCGCTTGAATTTTTTCGAAGGGGATTAACCAGGATGCTTCAACTGCATGCACTGTTTTTTTTTATTCTAGATCGAAGTGAGTGATGGACCCATGTTTCATCCTGCGTTACGTCCGGTAAATAAAATCAGGTTCCTCCTCATAGCAAGACAAAATAAATCTTGAAATACCAAGTCTGATCCGTTTCTGGTCGTCAGTCAACTGTATGGGGACCCATCTAGTGGAAACCTTTGACATGCCGGAGACGTCAGTCAAAATTGTCTGAACTGAACCAAAGGTTATAACCATTTCCCTAGCAATGCTTCGCAGGTCTCTCCTTCTGTCGCACATGAGCAGATCGTGCACAGCTTCGGCACTTTCATCGTCAGTGGCCTCTTTTGGCCGCCAAGGCCGCTTATTATCTCCAATGCTCTCCCTGCCCCTTTTAAATTCAGCAGCCGATTTTTTCACAGTGCTTTAGGAAGGGAACTCCTTCCCAAGTGTATCCACGAAGTCTACATGGATTTCCTTGGGGGCATCCCTTTTTTACAGGGTTACTTAATGACGGCTCTGATTCCAACTTTCTCTATTTGGTCTAAATGACATACCCCTCTACTGATCAAAATGTGTTTTACTTAATCTGTGTAAGACCGCGTGTAACTCGGTCAGTAATCATCAATAAGATATCGGTATCGTTGTATCGTGTGTAAATGTCAGTGTAGTGGCTAGAAGTAAATCGGGCCGAGAACTTTTTGACTATACCTCGTAGCTTTAACACATAAACATATAGCATCATTTTAAAGGTCGAAGTTCTTACTTGTTAAAATTAACTAATTAATTAATTGATGTCGAACAAGAAGGGGCAAACATATTGTTGTTTTGGATTGGTAAACATATTGGTGTGATCAAGATTCTGTTGGGTTTTTTTTGTGTGTTGATAAAATAGAAAATGAATATCATTTTATTTTTATTTATTCAATGTATCAATGCATTAAATCAACATATAACATTGCTACATTGAATACATTTAATGTGTTGATGTATTCTAGAAATAATGAAATTATAAAAATCTTTCAATGTTTGTATATTATGCTCTTAAACCCAGGTCAAGATTTATGCCATTGATATGTTAACTTGATACTTCTTATTAAAGTTTGTTATGCAATATTTTTATCACCAGTATCCTTGCTTGTATTAAAACATACAAAAATTATTTGAAATGTACAGTGTTAAGGAAAATTATTTCTACATAATTATATTCATTATATTTGTATATAATGTATGTATTTATGTTTATTGTGATTATTAGTGTATAAACATCTAAAAAAGGAATTGATTTGAATTGATATTGCCGGGCTACTTTACAAAATATGAAAAACAAGATCAACAAGGAAAGGCGGCGTTCAATGAACGCAACCCCCCCATGCTGCATAGAACTACCGGGTACACCAACTCGTTGACGGTCTTGTCTTCTCAAACCGATCATCATTCGCTCTGTGTAGAATAGTTTTATCCAAGTCAGTTACCATTGAAATATACCATAGTTCATATAAGTTCTTAAAACTTCCATCGAAGTAGGCGGTAAATGTCAGAGATAAATGCGGATGTTTGTTTAGTCTGTCTCTTGATAAGTATGTGGTATAAATACGATACTTTGACAAGGACACTAAGACAATATCATCGGCTACATTTGGTGTCATACACACAAAATCCCTATCCACACTCCTCTAAATTATTTTCCCAGGCTACCCATGAAGAGTGATCAAACAAAAAAATCCGAACTTTTTGTTCCTTGTCTATTTCCTGGTAAAAGAGGAAAAATTGTGTGATTTAATACCTTGAGAGCTTTTGAACATATATTCATATTGTATTGAATGTAGCCAATCCGGAGATATTGGCTAATGTTGCGGAAATATTGTCCTCGGTGAAAAGTAATTTCCGTTCACAAAATCCTCACTCTGCGCTTTGCCGGTCTGTATCGCCTCAGAAACTGAATCTAGTAGAACACGTACTGTTTGATCGGTTGTGATCTGCTCCAGGGTTTCACTAACCGTAGCTGTCATTGACAGCTTCTTTGATACATCATATTCTGGTTATCTTCTAAATGAATACAAAGAATTTTATTTTTAAATAATGTTAATGGTCTTATTACGTTATTGTGAAACTTTATGCCGTATCATTCACTTCACATTAACTCTTAAATTGTTAATTCTTCAAAAGTGTCTAAAATTGAATTGACTCAATTTCTACAGCTTAAACCAACTCATTGTTCTTCGGAATAAGTCCTCTGAGCACCTTTTAAGCATCATGTGAAAATCCCTTTAAGCTGTTTTATATTTAACATTATGTTCATGAACAATCACACGTGGTGTGCCATCGCGACACCACTTTTCGCTTATTTAAATGATTTTTCTTGTGTTTGTCATTTCAGAATGGTTTATATATTCCTTGAACAATTTGTTTGGCAAGCACTATTTTAATGGACTAGATGAACTCATGAAATACTATATTTATCGGATTTACTCGCTTGTTGGTACAAGGCTATTAGAAACATGGAAGCGACCAACGCGTTCACGAACAGAACA